AAAGAAAAGAAAAGAAAAGAAAAGAAAAGAAAAGAAAAGAAAAGAAAAGAAAAGAAAAGAAAGGGGCTGGGGATTTAGCCTAGCGGCACAGCGCCTGCCTGGCAAGCGCAAGGTTGTGAGTTCCATTCCTGGTACCGGAAAAAAAAACAAAAAAGAAAAGGGCCTCTGTCAGAAAGAAAGAAAGAAAGAAAGAAAGAAAGAGAGGGCTGGGGCGTGGCCCAGGCGCAAAGCACTTCCCAGCGTGTGTGAGGCCCTGGGTTCGACCCCGGCGCTGCCGTGGGAAGAGAATAAAGAACGACTCTGCCTCAAAGCTCCTCGCGTAGTCTGCACCTGAGGCAGCAGTTGGGGAGGACTCACAGAATGTCAGAGGGGCGTCAGGGCCCACACACAGTCTCCCATCTCAGTGTCCTCTCGTTCCAGCTACGCCCCCAGCAAAGCCACCAAAGCCGCGTCCGTGCTCCTGTACTCCCTGTGGGCGCACACGGAGCTCCACAACGCCTACAAGAAGGTGAGGTGCTCGGGTGGGGTGTCGTGTGGCAGAGCCAGGTCAGCATGGCCCGCTCAGCTCTGGGGAGAGATCTCTGAACCGCTCTACCTCGTGTGGGAATCTCTCACCCTTCACCTCTCTGTCTGCTTATTCCAAAGGCTCAGTTTAAGAAGACAGATTTTGTCAACAGCCGGACTGCCAAAGCCTACCACTCTCTTAAAGATTGAGGACAAGGGGCGGACCGCAGGGACCTCAGCCTCGGCGTCTTGGCCAGGCAAAAGCCCTCAGGAAAACACCTATTTTTCTACTGTCCAGCCCAGGAACCCCCAGAAGAAAGCACACATTGTTCCCAGCCTTTCCCGTTGCCGTGGTCCCGGGATCCAGAAAACAAATAATCAGATTTCGGCTCCAGAGGACTTTTGCAAGTTCTCTCCCTGTAGCCCCTGCGCTGTGGCCCCCGTGCCCCTCCTGGGGCCGCGCCCACCGGCGGGGTGTGTGAGGCAGCTGCCGTGTCCCTCGGGCCTTAGATGTTTGATTTATCTCTGTGCCCCTGGTTTCCGCATTGAGTCAGGAGTGTGTTGTTCGGATACTGCGCAACCCATCAGAAGTGACAGGAAATATCTACAGGCCTCCCGAGGAAAGTGTCTTCTGTTTGCTTTGTATGCGTTTTTATCGCCTTGGTTCTTTTCCCCTCTGGTTCTAAATGAACTTGAGAAGTTGATGTTACAGAAGCCTGCGTGACTGTGAGAGAAAGGAATTGGGAGGATGAGCTCACAGTCGTTCCTCCTTACACTGTCACTTCAAGTCAGGAAAGTAGAAAGGGACAAGGGAGAGTTCTGGAGGAAAAGCGGGAAGGTGCCTCTCAGTCCGCAAGTGATGCTGGGATGCCGAGCTCGGAAGGCAACGTCGCCCATTGGGTCCGGGTGAAATGTTGTTCTAACAGGGCTGCGATCAAAACCACTCGTGGAGAATTAGTCTGCTCAACTCTGATCCTGTTATACATCCTGCTTCTGTAAAGAAGTCCGACCCCACTTGTTAAAGAAAGTAAGAGGAGGAAAACTCCTTTGGGCTCCTTTTGGCCAGAAAAATGTAATAGAAAATAAATTCCCATGTCCATGTTCAGCATGTATGTAAGTCTTTCTTATAATTGGAACATAAGAATTGTTTTCCAGTTTTAAAATTCAGCCAGGCGTGGTGGTGCACACCTGTAATCTCATCACTCAGGAGGCTGAGGCAGGAGAATCGTCGCGAGTTCAATGCCAGCCTAGGCTACAAAGTGAGCTCAAGGCCAGCCACAAGAGCCTGTCTCAAAAAAAAAAAAAAAAATTTCAATGACCACAGGTTATAACCTCAGCCAAAATGAAGTTATTTTGCTATCATGTTTTTTAAATCCTAAAGAGGGAATTTACATCTTTTTCCCCAGGTTTCAGACATTAAACATTTAGAGTTTATTTATTTCTCCAGATAAATGGTATATGTTCAAGAATTTCTGTGTTTTCTAAGGCATTAGCAGAGCTTTCAAATATTAAACAAGAAATGAAGCAGAAGTGACACTGCCTGCACTGGTGTCTGTGCATATTTGACTTGTCTGACTTGGCATGTGTGGAGGGCTGATGCAATAGCTGGGGATTTGACCTTGTAATTTTCAGCTGCTAAGTTTCTGATACTTTATAATAATTTATATTTCTTCCATAAGGTTTTGACTGGTTGTGTGTTTGGCAGTACCAGAGATAAAACCCAGGGCCTTCTCACTGAGCTACATCCCTAGCCCTTTTATTATTTTTTATTTAGAGGTAGGCAAGGTCTTACTAAGTTGCCCCAAGAGTCCTGTGCTAGTTCTGTGCTAGAACTTGTGCTCCTCCTGCCTCAGCCTCCCGGAGAACTAGAAGTCATGGTACTCTCGAGAGAAACACTTGCTGTAAGAACACAGGAATTACTAGTGACAAAAGCACATAAAAGTGGAGAGATGGTCAAGTGATTTGTGTGTGTGTGTGTGTGTGTGTGTGTGTGTGTGTGGTGCTGGGGATCAAACTCAAGGTCTCATACCTAATAGGCAAGTGCCCTCTCTCTGAGCCGTACAAGTGTGTTGAGCACTGTTAGTTTTAATGGATCAAGCAAGTCTGTGTCTACAGAAAGACGGGCTGTGTCCAGTTATTATGCCATGCGTTCTCCCTCCATCTGCACTTCTGTACTTCACTCTGGGAGCGCCCAGGGTGGGGAGGGAAGGCCTCGCAAGGGCGGAGATCAGCCTGACCAGAGGTCTGCACACAGGCTGCTGGGTCTGTTTTGTGTATCCCCGGCTGGGCCAAGGCCATCAAAAGAACAGAAACGCCTTGTTTATTTGTGCAGGAAGCCCCAGAGGGTTCCTCCCGTGTCACGAATTCCTAGTGTCTTCTGGGACCTGGGCGCCGCTGCCTCAGGTTCCCATTGCTGCAAACTCGGTTCCACCTCCCGGGGATGAGCGGAGCGCTCGGCAGGAGGAGGGCGGCAGCGGGCACGGCTTACTCTCGTTCTGCAGAAGCAGTTCCCTATGGGGAAAAAGCCCAGGAAATAAGATACGTTTATAAGTTTCCATATATTACAGGTAGTGAGATTTCCGCTACATACATATGTAATGGATTTTGGCATTGGAATGAGGAGGACTTTGGTGCATGTGTATTTTGAACAAAACTGCAGGAGCCTCAGCTCATACAATCTCTGGATTAGGAGGGATTTAGAAGCATATGCTTAGGTCTTTAAGTACCTTCTGAGTCCAAAAAAAGACTCGGTTCTTATTAACCTCGCAGCGTTAGGGGCGTACGCAGCACGGCGGCACGGCTAGGAGGACCGGTTCTGAGCCGAGCGGGCCTGAACTCGCTTGTGGCTTCTCTCTGTAACGGGCGAGCTCCTCACCATCACGAAGCCTTGACTTTCTCTGTCCACCCGAGTGACAGCAGCATTTATCTCACTGGGCTGTGTGAGGATTAACTGCTTTCATAAATAGGGAGCACTTAACACAGCGCCCTCCCGTACCCACTCAGTAAATGCTGGCTAAATGGTTCGGCGTTCCCTGGTTTGGAGGTCTCGCTTTTCTTGTTTAATTCCTCTCTTCTGAGCCCTCCCGCATGTTACGCAGTGTTAAACCCTGCCCCACCCCCCGCGAAGGCCTGGCAGGGCCCCGTGTGGGCATTGAGCTGTTGGACGAGAAGCAGCACCCCACACTCATAGGGCAGCCCGAGGGAGGCCGAGCTGTCCGCACGTCAGTCTAGAGGCTTCTCAGCGCCCCCTTGTGTCCCCGTGCATCGTGGAACCCAGGAGGGCACAGCCTGCGCGGGCACAAACCTTTGGCCTTTTTTCCCAGATAACTTGGAACTGTGTGCTTCAAGCAACAGGGTCTAAGTGATCCGCCCGGGGCAGGAGTGTGCGCCTGGCCTGACCTGGCTCCCAGGGGGCTGAAGCCTGACTGTATAAACCATGTCGTGGTTTTGTGCACAAGCTTGACAAGACCTGAAACTCTGACTTCGGTACTGGAGGACCGTCTGCTGCCTGCCGAGTGTGCGGTGTGGCTCGTGTCTAGGCGGAGCTCGCCCGGGCGCGGCTGTCAGGACAGACACAGGCTGAGGCAGGGTCAGCCAGGGCTTGCATCTCTCAGAAGCCCGAACCGCCTCTCCGCTGCTCACACTCCATACATCTGGCAGGGATGAAAAAACAAGTCCAAACTGCAGTCCTTTTCTTACAGCCATATGAAGGTGTTTTTCACAATAGCTGATCCTTTGTCTGTCTTAGCATTTTCTAGACAAAAATTAGGTTTTTCTTTTCTTTTCCTGCTGGGGATTGAACTCAGGGCCTTCACAGTGAGCTACACCCCGAGCCCCTTTGGTTTTTTTGCAGACAGTTTCACTAAGTCACTAAATGGCTGGGCTCTAACTTGGGATCCTCCTGCTTCAGCCTCCTAGAGTACTGGGATTACAGGTGTGTGCACCACAACACCTGGCTAAATACCGCCCATGTTTAGGTACCTCTTTAAACACACATATGTTCACCTTACTCCAGTAAGAATGGCTAGCATTAAGAAATCAGCCAATAACAAATGCTGGCGAGGCTGTGGAGAAATAGGAACCCTTCTCCACTGCTGGTGGGAATGCAGACTGGTGAAACCACTGTGGAAATCAGTTTGGAGATTCCTCCAAAAATTAGGTCTAGAGGTCCCATTCAACCCAGCTATCCCCCTGCTGGGTATTTTCCCAGAAGATCTAAAAACATCATATCACAGTGATGTATGTGCACCTATGTTCATAGCAGCACAATTTGTAATTGCTAAATTATGGAAGCAACCCAAATGTCCATCCACTGAGGATTGGATAAGAAAATTGTGGTACTTTTTTTTAATGGAATATTACTCAGCTGTAAAGAAAGATAAACTTGAGGCTTTTATAGGCAAATGGTCACAACTACAGACCATACTCATAAGACTCATAAGTGAAATAAATCAAACATACGTGTGCAAGCACCGCATTGTTTCACTAGTGTAAAATTTGAAAGAGTTTAAACTCGGAGATATGATAGACACTGTGAAATGATAGGAAACCGCTCAAGAGTAAAGAGCAACTGGGATGTGGGAAAAGAGAAGGGAAAGAAGGAGAAATTTTGTATGTATGTATACACAGGATAGTTAACATGATTGTTCTTCTGTCTTCTATTTCTATGCTGAAAGAAACTGTCAGTGAGTCTTTGATTGATCAGTATTGCATTTCTATATCTGTTTTCATGAGAAGCCACTTTGAAGATATCAATATGTAATACAACAACCATTGTTAATTCCCTACCACTTTGTTTGTAACTCCGTATTGTCTGTACTGTTCCTTTGCTATGTGGTAAAACGCTGTCTGTTAATGTTTTTCCTCCTTTTATTTAAAAAAAAAAAAAAAACATGTGTTCAATTCAACATCAATCCTGGAGGTGAGGACGAGTGGGGGTAACAGGGAGAAAGCTCTCACAGACAGTAGTGAGCCAAACTTCCCTGTGAGGGACGCACTCCTAGTCTCCTCGGTCTCTGCTTCATGGGGAAAATGCCGAGAACAGGTGTCAGGTGAGAGGCGAGGTGTCTACACCCAGGAGTCACCCGGAATGGAGCTCATAAAACAGAAAATGGTTGGTGTGAGAGCGAGGAACTGGGAAGACACACTCACTGGTAGCTAGGAGAAGTTCAGTCAGCAATAATGACAAGGGAAGCAAGCTGGGACAACTGTAATAAGAGTGCAAAAAATCCCAGTATTTAGAAAACAGACGAAAATGCTTAGTAATGTATTGTACAAAGTTATGGGTTTCACTGATATTTCGATAGACATTTTTTCATAGATACTTCTTTTGCCCCTTGACCTAATTGGGGACTTTCTAAGTCCTAAATTAAAAAGTGAAAGCGATCTATTTTAGTGGTATTGCCTTAACAGCTCTATATAAGAGTTATGTGTGAACATATTAAGTAACACGTTCCCATTTTTTTGGTGTCTCAATAAGTAAAGTGACTCAATTCCTTACCTACTCTTTTCTTTCCTTTAGTTTATGGCTTAGAATGTTTCATTTGCATTATCAAACAAGGCCAAAAGCAATAAGCATTTTATCTCATGTGACAGGAAGACCAGATTCAGGCTCAGGTTTGGTTATTTCAGCACCTCACTGCAGGCATCACAAATGCAGGTGGTTTCCATCTTCCTGCTTTGATGTCCTCAGCCATTGGTTTTTGCCCTCAACTGTTCTCTTCACGTTCACAAAGTGGCTGCAGCAGCCCCAAACGTCTTACCTTCATAGAGCCATGTCCAAAGGCTAGAAAAGCAAATACATCCTTTCTTGCACCCTTTTTTAAAAAATAATAATGAAAATTTTCCTAGAAGCCCCTGTCAGACCTCATTTGTTGTCCAGAATTACATATGCCTCATCCTAAAACAGTTCCCGGTGAGAAAAGTGCTGGATTCATGTGAGCCGATTAGAGCTCCCTCAAAGCTATGGGCACTCCAGGAATGAGTCGGGGTTTTATGGAGCAAGGAAAAATGAGATTGCAGAGCAGTCAAACACCATTGTCTATTGCAGGGAGAGACCCTCCGATAAGAAAGAATTCATCGATCTTTAGCCAATAGCTCTTGTGT